CCAGTGAAATATATTTATGTTTGTGGTTGTAATGTGACAAAATATGGAAAAGTTCAAGGGGTATGAATACTTTTGCAAACCACTGTATTTATTTACAGTCGTAAAGTTTACCACGTAAAACTGATTTGGTCCAGTTCTCAAACTTCCCCCTGCCTGTGAATACTCAGGAAATGGTGTCGAACAACACATGACCAAGAGTCAAGTCGCACCCTACTGTGATGTCATGGTAAACAAGGAAGTAAACACCTCTAAAATGTAAAACATTACGCATTTATACTGTTGGAGCAAGGCAAGTATTAAAGTGAAGATTTGTAGAGTAAAAAAGCTATTTGACATTTGTTCCTCTATCCCTATGCCTTTTTTACTGATACAGGGGGGAAAACGTGTGTCCTCTTATCACATCTTACTCAAACACACACATTTAAGCTCATCCCCTTGTTTGGATCATTAGTACAGTTGTAACCCTCTCTGGTTGTGTGTGTGTTCWTTCTGCAGTTCTGGTTACGTCACCTTCCACACCCTGCAGCTGTTATGTATTCCCTTTAAATCCCTGTCTGATATTCCCGGATTAGTGGGATTTACTTGTTAAGTAGGACCACTGATAGAAATAATATTTTTAATTGAAAAATACTATCTGCTCAACAGTTTCAATAAACATATTTTTGACCCATCAGCAGGAACCTGTTGTCAGCTCAGCTCGTACTGTTGCTGGCACGTTGAGTTCAGTTCTACCTTTTCTCTGCAGGGCAGATGGTTCACTTTGTTACGTCATTAGTTTTTTCTTTTTTTCTTTTTTCCTGGCATCAGCTGTGTTTTAATGCACAGTTGGGTCTGGCAGTAGATGAACTAGACTTCCTGTCCTCCCACTGACTGGTGTCAGTAAATTGTTTCACAGGGAGCTGCCAAATAAAAGCCCCCTGTGTAGATGTGAATGACGTAATGACTGTTTATATTTGCTGCTAATACATACAGCTGCCACCAAGGGCCAAGTATTTGCCAGATCAGTGTGTATGTTTAAGAGAATGATAAAGGTTAATTTGTTGGAGAAATATGTAAATGTATAATGTACAAATTATGAGTTAAACCTTTATTGTTTTTCTTTTGTTTTTATATTTTTGTATGTTTTTTAATTTGAAGATTATTTTTGATTGAATCTATTT